GATAGATAGATAGATAGATAGATAGATAGATAGATAGATAGATAGATTGATTGATAAGATAGATTGATTGATAAGATAGATAGATATGATTGATAAGATAGATAAGATAGATAAGATAGATAGATAGATAGATTGATTAGTTTTAACCTTCTATAAAATCAAACACCTATTCAGATGAACTAAAATCTTAGTTTTTAAAAAGACAAATGAAAAAAGTTGGTTCATTGTATTTTCTTGATGGGGGAAAAGCATTTATTTGTTGTTTCATGTTTATATAATTTTTGTTTTCTAATAGAAAATAAGGACCAATTTTCTCTTTAAATGTCTTGTTTGAGCCTATTTTGTGTTGGACTCGAACTGTTCTTGGTATTTAACAAATTTAAAATGAAATAAAAAAAAATTAGCAGCATGAAATACCTTATTATTGCTTAATTTATGCTTTTTATCTGAAAAAGGAAAAACATTAACATAATTCTATTCTTCATAGTAAGGGATGGTTTAGTTGTAGTTGCACAGCTGTCATAACTCGTTGTTCTTTACGAGAAGTAAAGCGACACAATCAATAAAAAAATCTACGCTTTGTTACCCTCAGGCTCATTGTAATATAAAATAGATTTGATGTTTCACTAAATTGTAATTTGAGTCTGATCTGGCATGACTTGTTGCAAACTTGTTGCAGCTCAGGATGAAAACATTCTGGCACACATGGGGCGTATTAAAAAGTCACATTTATTTGATTTTTCCCAGATAACACAAAATCCCACTGAGCCCGTTGAATCTTTCCAAAGGAATCTTTTTTATTGTCCTCGAGTCTAGTATGGCTCATCAAGTGATTGTGATAAGATTGCTCTGTCTTCCTGTGATTCAGCTGAAACCCAGAGAGATGAAGAACAGTGTTTCAGATCCTCAGGCGGTCAGAAAGGAGACACAGCGGAGAGCAAACTCAAGACGACTCCTGGAGTGCAGGGAGGATGATAAAACCATCACTAAAGGAGAGAAACAGTGGGCGGCTGTGCAATGATTGTGTTAAGGTAAGATGAATAATGCACAGCATGCACAGCTGCAGATGGATCTCTTAAATTTGTGAAAGTTAATTAAAAACAATTAGGTTCTAACTGAAAATTTGTAATTTCATCTTGCAACTGTTCTTAATTAGCTGTAAGCAACTTTGCATTACAATGCTAATAAAATGCCAAATTGTTCATTGTTCATATTCCATGTATTTCTGAGACAAAGTAATTGAGAAAAATCAGATTATGTTAGATCAACACAAAGGATTATAATGCTGGGTCAAATCTCATGCGGGCGGTCGGTAATCCGTAACAGATTACACTTTAAAAGGAGCCTGTATAATGTGCGGATGGATGTGTGGTGGAGATTGGAAACGGTTTGGAAATGAGAGGCCTGTCAGTGGGACGGCAGGAGAAGATGATAAAAATTGGTTCCGACTGAGCTCAGTTCTCACATCCACCTCCTATGCATCTACTTCACCATCATAAGTGTAGAGGTACAGGGCAGGTGAGCAGAGGGGGGAACAGGATGTGAGAAAGAAAACAGGATATCACACACTCGGTTTTCTCAAGCAACTGTCCTTGTCAGCTTAAATTTGGCGGAGTAGAATTTTAATGCAAAGTAAAAGGTGGTTCTTAATGTTGAGAGGTGGTAACCACCAAAATAGTTTATCTTATTCGAACAGCTTTAAATGATGATCATTGGAAACGTTTTTTTTTTTCCTAATTCATCAATTCTTAACATTTTTTTTATACTTTTTTTTTATTAAACATCAATATTGAGAGTGACATATTTAAATCTTTCAAAGAGACTGTCCAAAGGTGGGGAAGAGGGAATCTAATATAATCTTTGAGGCAACTATGCCAATATTTTGTGCCAACATTTCTTTGAACCACAGCTTTATCTTGTCGATTTTTAGCTCTGTGAATTTAGCTTTGTGCCGCAGCATTTCATGGACGGGATTATATGCTGCAGTGTCACCAAAAAGCTCAGAGATTATCTTTTTTTCTGTCTGACAAACGAGAAAATGAGGCCCCATTGACTCCCAGTTTGAAACCGCACACTGATTAAAGTAAATTAAGTGTATATACATACCCTGAGGGAAGAATCAGGGCATCTGTAACCATCTAGAGGGGGTAAAAGTATTATGATTTATCACGGTAAGCAGGATTACATAACTTTCCTTAAATGCTGCTTTTTCTCAAATTCAGCAGAAGGCAGAGTGGTTGTATGCCTGAATGCATTTGTAAGCTTGTTCATGCACGTTTTGTATGCCTGTGTGGGTATGTGGGTCTCTCTCGTGATTCTAATGCAAGTTTGCAAAGATTGTGGGTGGTTTGCGACTTAATGCAGTTTTCACATTTGATTACAATCACATCACACTGCCCCTTTGAGTTTAGTGCATGCTCTGCATTACCCTGTCCATGTCACATCTACACATGTGTTCATTCAATGATGCAAATCTATCAAGTGAAGTAGGTGCACACTCGTGTCGCAAGATAAAATATGTATGATAAAATATGTAAAACTGGTAAAAAAAATAGAATTTTCTTGATGTTGAACCTGAGTGAGAACACAAGAAAGATGTCAGACAATGGGCAGTAACTCAAATATTTATATTTCTTGCAATTTTTAGGAATGCACCGAGCTTCTTGTTCGTGTATTTCTTGTAGGTGGGTTTAGATGCCGTGTGCTTTTCACTGGTATTTCTCATAGACATGCATTTAAATATTATGGTGCTCTTCATCATCTCTTGTTGCTGAAAGCTGATGCTAGCAGGAACCGGTTTACAGAAGCTGCCACATTGGATTTACAGGATCAGACTCTTCCCACTGGCGAGCTTTAAGTTCCTGCCTACTCCAACACATACACTCATACATGACATTTCTATTAGGTATGAAATAACTAATTATAGTCAAGACATGAAACATTTATCTGAAGGATATATTTTCTTCTTTTAACAAAATCAAAGAAACGTGTTTGGGACCATATGAGACGTTGTACCTGCTCCGGCTTCAACTTCATGGTTCCCGTATGGAGTCAGTATTTCTTTACACATTGATGGTATTCCTAGCAGAGCTGTGCCAGCTGAAAAGTGGTTAAAAGTAAGGACAGTTGATTGAAAGGCAAAGTAATCCGATACTAGACAACTTGAAGGGAAGATGTGGATGATGACCAGAAGCAAGAATAAAAGTGATGAATAATAATGAGGGAATAATTTGATTTGTAATAGGAAATTTTAAACTACCATACTTTTTGCTGTATAAGTCACACCTTTTTGCATAAATTAGCACACCTGCGACGTATACAGCAAAGCAACTTATTTATGTTTTATTTCTCCATATTTATAACCCAATTTTTGGCTGAGATCTGACGATTTCATTCAGTCTGACATGGAAAATATTGAACACTACCATTTTCAGCCACTAGAGGGTGCTTGAGTGATATGGCAAGCCAAGTGTCTCATTAATAGGTAAAAGTGGCTATTAATGAGACACTTGGCTTGCCATACCAAGCCACCTTTGTCTCATTCCAGAACTCCTGAGTAAATATTAAATTAGCTGCATTTCGCCGCCGCATCTAGGCGAAATGCAGCTGATTTGACCATTAAAGTACATTTATTAATGAAAAGTTCAACTGAGACACACCTTTGCTATAATGTCAAACAAACAAATAATTGTTTTTAAGTGTTAATCTTGTTAAATTCTTGTTAAAGTCCTCCCGTGCACATTCCCGCAGCCGCCATTTGGCAGCCAATCGATTGTTTGGCACAACACAGGCCCATGTTTCCGGGTGGTCAGCGGTGACACATAAAAAACACGACGCGGTGACTCATAATAGATGCGACTTATACAGCGAAGTGACTTATTTATGGGTTTTTCCACTTTATTAGACATATTTGGACTGATGTGACTTATACGGTGATGCGATGTGTACGGTATTTAAAAAATGGGGGGAGGGGAGGGAGGGAATGGTGACAGACAAGGATATAGCTGAAATTTGAAATGCGTTATTGTTTTCTCTCTTTGCACAAATGTGCAACTCTACATGTCTGTCAGAGTGGTTAAAGTAAAAAAAAAAAAATAAAAAAAAAAACATCAAAAGGATTGTGAAGCTTAAAACCAGTTGAAATCTTGTACCGGTTATTAAGGAGTGTCCATGTAGAGATTTCAGTATTCTTCTTTATTCACATCACCTTTTTGCAGCTCTAAAGTGTCAGGGGGGAGAATTCTTCTTCTCAGCTGTGACTCATCCCTCAAACGATCCATGTGGTATTTAAGGACCAAAGCTGCCCTAGGACAACGCTGAGATATTCTCTGTGGTATTCAGTGAGCAGCCAGAGTTTCTAGTGCAATCTAAGGTTTTGTAAATTAATCATGTTTTTCCTTGTGCTCCTAGCAGATGAGAATCTGTTTCCTGTGCTCTCCCAGTTTGAGGCTTACCTTCGTCCTCCAGCCTGAGTTTGCATTGGACTATCATCCTAAAACCAATTCTCCCCATACGGACATTACAACTGCAAAGATCTCTCACTTATTGCATCATTCTGGTTCGACATGCCACTCTCCTACACCAACCTGTGAACCTCACCTACCATATCGCCTTCCTGGAACCTGGAATTGTACCCTTCAAGCCTGAACACCGACTAAATACTTACCCGTTTCCTTCCAAGTCCAGCCCCTGTAATATTCAGTCTAACTTTAAAAGTTTCAGCTCTGTATAAAAAAATCTCAGTATTTTTAGCTAAATGTCGATGTACAATATCATTAATTATTTTTAATGGTTCATTTTTTTTCTCTTATAAAGTTCTACAAAAAGACACTTCTGAGTCAAAGCTACATGTCCCAAATGTCACACAGGCACTTTTATTAACATTGAGCTGTGCATTAGAAAAGTCTCCAAAATAAACAATTGTAATGTATTAAATAATAATTCTCATCAAAATAAAATAAATTCCTGCATAACAAACCAAAACTCACGGCTGTGAAATGAAAATGCAAACAGAAAAGATACAGACACACACACACTTGCTCTCTAAAAAGATATTAACTCAATGAATATTGCACTCACCAAAGACCAGATGAAGCAAAGCAGACTTATTCAGTTACACACCCTTGACCACATTAGTGTTGTCGGTAATGGCAACAAGTCCCGTTGGGTTGATATGATGGCAATAAGCTACTAATTTAGTAATGTCATGCCACTTCTCACATTTTCTCTCATAAGGCACAGCACAGGCCTAAGAGTTTTGTAGCATTGTTTGCTTTGGGGCAGAAGGCCTCCATTTGTCTCCATCTCTGTCACTGCATATGCAAATTCCCATGTGAGGAGTGTGTGTGTGTGTGTGTGTGTGTGTGTGTGCATGTGTGTGTGTGTGGGGGGGGGGGGGGGGTGTTGTTCAGAGTGAGGAGGAGAGGCAGGGCCGGTCAGTGGTATGAGAAATTGGGCACAGAGAAATGGGGAGAAGAGGAAGGTAAACTGGCAGATCTACAGTTTTAATTTACAACACATAGACTATATCAAAATAAACAACAGTCATATCTTATATATCAAGGGGTTTAAAAATCTGGATATATCACCCAGTCCTATGTCTAATTCTGTATGTTTTTCTTTCTATCAGTACATCAACATTTCACTTTTTCCATTTTTATTTTACTAAAACAATGGTTTTCCTTTAGAATCACATTATACTGTAGACACTGCCTGCTGTGCATTGCTGAGGACAGTGTCTCAGCAATCATTCAATTAGTTTTTTTTTCTTGATGTGTATCTTTTTTGTGCAAAAATATTTAATCTAACATTTATTTTGTGAATTAAATTCATAAATTATACTGATGCCTTCAAAGGTTTATTTGCATCTTTGCGAGTAGTAAAAGAAACTACACCAGACAAGCATATTAACAAGCGTCTCTTGCTTTGTTTTAAAACAGGCATGATGCTGTGCACATTTCAGATTAAGGGCATAATAATAATTTAAAAAAAGATGTGTAAATGGGATTTTGCTGGAGCTCATGCAGATTTATTTGCATATTCCATATTTATGTCACAGCATGCAGCAAGCTCATAGCATGCAGAGCTGAAAGAAAGAAAGACTTGTCAGCTTTACAGCTGAACAGGACATGTGTGTCCCTTGCAGCTTTATTATTGCTCTAACGCAGAGGTGCCCAAAGTGGGGCCCGCGGGCCAAAGTTGGCCCGCCAAACCGTTTGAGTTGGCCCACCAAGCTGTCCTTATTACTATAATAAAATTTCCTTTGAAGAATCAATGTGTTTTCACTCAGTTATTCCACCCTTGGACTTTAATGTTAGATGAAAAAAAAAAATCAGCCCAATTACTATATATGGGACTGTTTGTTTATGTTCATATTATTGTTGCTTTTAAGTTGTGTTGCTGTTGGGCATGCATTTTTTGACATTTTTCACTACATATAATTATACTGAAATGCAAAAATTTCAATATTTGTTTTAATTTCTTATATATGACTTATATGTTATATTTTGTTTTCTGGAATGTTCTGTATAACCAACTGTTAAATAACTGTATAAAAATAAAAGGACTTTACTTAAAGATGTATTTGCATTTCATGTATTATATTATTGCATTTGGCCCACAGCCCTCTGATAGATTTTAAAATTTGGCCCTTTCAGGGAAAAAGTTTGGGCACCCCTGCTCTAACGCCATCCATGTACAGTACATGTCTATAAACATGTTATACATGGCTGTTTTTTAAAGTATTTTTAAACTGAACATGAAGCTTTAAATTTAGTCACATTATCAAATGTTTATAATATTTCCTGGTGTCTGTTCTACCTATAATAAATGTTTGTGTTACACTTGTCAGAAGTTGTAATACTTAAGTACATAGTATCAAAGTTCATGCTCAATAATCCAGGTAAAAAAATCCAACAATGTTCAGTCAGGTCATCAGTTTAAAAAAAGATTGGGGGGGAAAAGGCCAAATTTAAAGTTGTTGCTTGTGGGACAAAGTTTGTTTTGGCTCCTCGGACTGATAAAGTCCTTTGGATAAAGGACGAAACATCTCAACAAAAAAAAAGAGATAATCCAGATGACCTGACTGAACATTGTTGGATATTTTTTTACCTGGATTATTGAGCATGAACTTTGGTGTTTTGAACCACTTTGGCTATGGCTGCCTCAAAGGAGTCGATGGGGGAGAGGGTGGGCCCCAGAAGCCATCTTATCACCAGTAAACTGATTGGTCCACTATGGGAGTGTGCCGCTTATGGGACTGAATTTGTTGTGGCAACTCGTACTGATGAAGTCCTTTGGATGAAGGTCGAAACGTCTCAACAACAAAAAAAAGAAACCATCCAGATGACCTGACTGAACTTTGTTGGTTATGTACATATCGTAAAATGTTTTCTCTGTGTGCTTCATTGTCTATTCATACTCATGTAAAGATATAGTAAGATGACACCAGTGTTACAGTGATCTAATCTAACTCGTTACACTCCTCCTGTACCAGCCAAAGTAATTACTTTTTTTTTGCTCCACCCCATCTCCCGCACCACACCCTTGTCTCATGGCTCCAAATGTCAGCTCATCAGCCTAATTATCCCATAACTTAGGTTACTTTTTAAAGTGACGCATTTGGTTCTTTGTTATCTGAGAGCTTGAGCACTAGCCCCCAATTACCTTTCACACACCTAACTGGTTGTTTCTACACTTTCTCACTTGCAAGCAAGGTCTTTTTTAATCAGACTATTATATTAATTACATCTGAGTTAGGCTCAATTATCTCCTCTCCTCTATTAGGCATCATAACATCCACCTAATGTTACTTGGGGAGAATACTTTTGACACAGCCTGTTTATTTTTTAGCCTCCATGTTTGTGTGCATCATTAGTCCAAAGGTCACTGGATAACAAAATCATTCCTGTGAATGCATAATTGGCTTATTCATGAACTTCCTTAAATAGATCCGTTGGGCTCCTGTCACTCAGCCATTTTCATTCACATGTGCCCCACTCTATTTCCATTTCTCTCATGAGCACAGCATTTTATTTATGGCTCAGCATTTATGTGGAATAGATTCACTTTGATGAGGCAGAGCTCCAGTGGAGAAGACTTATGATCTATTTCTGTACGACAGCACATGGGACTCACGTGCCGGGTAATAAAATGCCCTTGATGTGTGCCCTTTGTCTCACAGGGAGAAAAAGCCACACATGCATGCATAATAGGGGGGAAACTATTTTGAGATTACTTTTTTTCTCTTTTGACTGTGCAATTCATTTGCCTGCTGGTGGAAAATGGATGTGAATCATTCACTGTGGCTGCTCCTCTCCAACATCCACTCACTCTCCATTCTTCTGCTCTGATTTATTATCAAACTTAATGACTGAATATCAATCAAACATCACATTTTCATGCATTTCTTATCTTGCTTCATGGTTTCTTTCACATTTATGTTTTTATTGTCTGTCAAATGTTTCCCTTTTAACTCACAGCTTCATAAAAAAACAGTCCCATGTTTTGGCACGGTCTAAAATATGGCTTTTAAATTATTGATGCAGAGCTTGAAATTCAGTGCTGTGATTGTCTTCATGCACAAAACCAGATTACTGCAACAGGAAAATAAAAGCTTAAAAATGAACAATAACAAAAAGGTCATCTTATGTTGAAAAATTCAAATTTTAGCCATTTTGTGCGAACCTTAAAAATAACGCAAGCACAGTTTCATGCATTTTGTGATATCTTGTGATCTTTCAGGATCTGTTAGTGAGGGTATGTGTTGTGAGTGACTCTTGGTTACTGTCACACCAAAATTTAGCTCAATATCTGTAAAATCCAGTCAGGTGTAGCCATTTATGTGTTGTCTCAGGTTGATTAGCTGTGGTGTCCATCTTGAAGGGATTTGACGCCAAATAAATCAATTGTAGATGGATGGATGGAAGTCCATCCATCCATCCAATGTTTAATTGAACTCTCTTCACTTGTTTATATTTTGCTAACAGACAAATGGGGCTGACTACAACAGTTAATGTCAAGGTTTTAAGACAGATCTTAAGCGTGTTGTGCTCTAACTGTGTTGGGGACCATGTTTATGTACTACCACACCAGATCGTAGCAAAGTATCTGTAAAAACTGGATGAGTTAAAACCATTGTTGTGTTTTCTAAGGTTATTCGGCTGAGGTGGTCATCTTAAACTGGGTTTATTCCAAAAGTTAATCTGGAGTAGTTAATTTAATGACTACATTTGGTAAATCTCATTAAAATCTGTCCATCCATCATCTTCATCCGTTTCTTCCTTGTCGGGTTGCAGGGGTCACTGGTGCCCATGTCCAGCCATCACTGTGCGAGAGGCAGGGGACTCCTGGACAGGTCTCCAGTCCATCACAGGGACACATAGAGACAAATGAGACCATTCATTCTCTCACTCAAACCTAGAGACATTTTAGTTACCAATCAGTCTAACATGCATGTTTTTGGTCTGTGGGAGGAAACTGGAGTACCCGGAGAAAACCCACACATGCACAGAGAGAACATGCACTACACTGGCTCTTGTCTTACTGGACAGACTTTCAGCAAGTCAATACTCAAGATGAACTACTAAAATATATTTTATTTTTTATTTTTAACCTGGATGTTCCTTCGGATTTAAAATCTCCTT